CAGTGAACGGGCAGCACCTGATCCCAGGTTGTTAGCCCACCAGTGCTGGTGGAGCCTGAGTCCCTGCCCCGAAATGCAAGCGTGGCTAGAATTTGTATCCATGGACTGTGGTGATAGACGCCTGGCAGAGCAGCACCGTTCACATGCCAGCGTGATCTTGCATACAACATGAATACCCACGCAAACAGAAACGTGGTGGTGAGACCCGGATGCCTGGGTCAGCTCTGGCTGCATCCTGGCAGACACAGAAAAACCCATCAGCAGAGGCTGCAATCCTGCAGGGAACCCCAGGGCCCAGAGGACTCAGCTGCCTCCCCATCCCCAGCATGTGCACCACAACATCTGTTCTCCCATGCTCTGCCACTCCCAAAGGGCAATGTCACCAGTTCCTGCTGTAGGGCAGGGTCACCTGCGCTAAGGGGCCCACATGTGGAACAGGAAGGCAGCTGAAGTCATGGGCCACCCTGATCCCACTTGGCGTTGCTTGGTTGGAAGAGGTGTTTCCTTGGGGGCCATCCCCATAGACCCCCGTGTACTGACACCTCATTCTTACCCTGTGCACCCATGCAGTTGTGTGCTACATACATGCTGCCGAGGCTGTCCACCACCCCGTATCTCTCTGACAGGCCCGCAGCACCACATGGCACCACCAGCCAGCGTGAGCTCAGGCCAAGCATCCTGTCGCTCGCTCCCTGGGCATCCACCCACCATGGTGGAGAAGTGGAAAAGAGAAGAGAGAAGCATGAGACCCTACAATTAAAGTGGCGGTTGTTTATCACAGCAGAGCTGTGCCTGCCAACGCCAGCCGCCATCGCATCTCCGGCTGCCGGCTCCCCCCGAGTGTTTATTTAAGCCAACACATTGCTCTGCTAATTGGATAACATTCTATGTGAAAATAGGCCTTTTAAAACAACAGTGTCGGTGGCTAAAACAGCTGCAACCACAAAAGTACAAAGGAGCGTGGCTCAGGAGGGAGAATTAAAGGCACCTCGCATGGGGAACAATTAATATTCTGGGTTCTGGGCATCTGTCTGCTCCTCCCCTCCTTCCTTTTCCTTCCTCCAGGGCCAGCCTGGGCTATGCAAGAAAAGGACGGTGGGGCCTGAATGGAAACCCGGTACCTATTGGTGGATGTCTAGCCAATGGGGCCAAACCCACCTGCCTGGGACTCCCCACTGCCTGTCCAGGTGAGAGGGCCACACTAGGAGCTGGGACAGGCTGGAGGGAGCTCAGCAGTGCAGAGGTTCAAGGGCTCCTAAAAGCTGTCTGCATGGGACTTCTTGGCCTCCGCGTGTCTTCACCCAGAGAGCCCTTTCCCAGGGTGAGGTGCTAAGGCTGGGTAGCAGGGATGGCTACGTGGGGCGGGGTAAACCAATGCTTGACAGGAGGGAGGAGCCTGGCTGTATAACACTGCTATTTATTTCCCCACCTGTCAAGCAACCCACCACCAGTATCCAGGGGGTATCAGAAGGGCTTTACCATCAGAGGTACCTAAGAAGCCCAGAGAAGGGTGTGGCAGTGGTGACATGACAGGGGGCCAACACGCAGGCAGGTCAGCCCAGAACCCTCCCCCGCCACAGGTAGGTAGGACGTGTGCCAGCCTGACTTCCTGCCCCATGCTACAGTCTCCTAGTTGACATTGGCTTCCCGCTTTCCTGCAGGGCTAAGTTCCCTGAGAAACACGGAGACTGAGATAATGTGGATCCCTTCAGTAGGACTGACAAGGGGCTGATCTAATGTCCTAGACAGGAAGATTCGTCTGCATACAGCAGGTAAGGAAGGCTCAGGTCACTAGTGCCTGTGACTAGGCAGGTAGCCCCAGTGCCTCCTCCCATTTGCCTGAGCAAGTCCTTACCAACCAGGGACGAGCCCTGTGGCTGTGCAGATGTGCAAGGTCAGGAGAGGGAGGTTCTGTGCTAATCTCCACCTGACCTGGTACACTGGACTGGGGCAGGCAATGTGCCTGTGGTAGACGCGTCACTCACATGGGAGGTGCCCTCAGGAGCCCCTGCCTATTATTGTTGGGTGCCTGGTTCCTCTTGGTTCTGCCTTGGTTCTTCATGGAGCCTCCTGCTAGGTTTGCTCTCCAGCATTGTTGTGTACTTGACTTAGAAGGGGTCTGATGGGTCAGAGAACCTGAGTGTGCGAGGTGTGAGGTCAGGCCTGGAGAGAGAACCAAACTCCTCATTCCAGGATGAGAGAGCCCTTGTTCAGGGCTCAGTGGACCTCTGTGGGAGGGTATACCATGACTCTCAAGACAGTGGGGCCAGGACAAGAACCTGATACCAGGAGCTGAGATGGCATGAGTCCCTCTGGGACTTCCGGCCTCATGATCCTCCATTTAGCAATGAATGCAGCCTCCTGCCTCAGCCCTATTGGCTGCCATACTTCTCTCCCATCCCTCTTCCCTTCTTCTGGTTTTCCTTCTGTGTCTGAGGATGGCTTGAGGAGGTCCCCTAGTGTACAAGGTTGCAGGTACCCGTGACAAGCTGCCGCTCTGCATGGAGGAGGCATTCAAGAGGGTCAGAGACCACTGGGAGACCCAGGTGCTTCTAAAGGGGCCTCCCTTCTCTCAAACATCACATGATAAAGGAGGCTCAGGAAATCATGTTCCAAGAGGCAGGGCCTGAGAGCCCCTTTCCAGCTTGATTGGGTTCCACTCTTTCTCCACTGAGAGTAACTCCCACCCCCAGGCCACATATGGTGAAAGACTCCATGTACCGATTGTGGCCACACTGTGTGCAGGGCACATGCATCCATGGCAAGTGAAAAGTACCCATAGTGCCACTCAGCAGACAACCCAGTTCTGCCGACAGAACGAGGGGATTATGGAGAGAGGCGCAGCTGCCCCAATAAACGAGATCAAGGGAGCACTGTGGGAGAGGTATTACGGCTCAGTCCCACATCCATTAAGATGATCTCACTGGCACAACGGGAGAACGGGCATGAGTCCTGGCACAGAGGGTAGGACAGGGGGACTGCTGCAAGGATGGAGAGGCCCGAAATAGACCTGGTGAGGGGCGGGCACAGACAGTCTCCAGGGCTGTGGGCTGAGTCCTCGCTGTCCTCAGCTGCCCTTTGTATTTCAGGAACTGAGAACGGGGAAGGACGGAGGGGAGAAGCTGCTGCCTCACGGCTGAGGGGGCTATGCAGGCCAACCGGGTGTAGAGTGCCCTGTGCCCCAGGAACTCAGGACTGCTCCATAGGACAGGAGTGGGTGTGTGGACATCCGCACCGAGCCTGTCCCTCCAGCTTATGTGCCAGGCCAGCTGTGGCACTGACCTTGGGCAGGACAGTCACTGTGCAGAAAGAGGGCTTCTGATTAAGGGGCTGGCACTGAACCCCCACTTGTCACAGCCCCTCCCCCACAAGGCAACACAAGGAGCTGGCAGGGCCAGGTCCTGGTCTAAGTGTCAGTCAGAACTGAGAGGTGTAGGAGGGCGAGTCACTTTTCCAAGGTCACAGAGGGGAAGAAGCCACGCTGGCTTCACAGACAGTGAGCACGCAAGTTTGGGGTCGACATTGGTCAAAGAGCTCTTTCAGGGACAGAGAGCTCTTTCTGCTTCTCCCCAGGGCTTCCTGGTCTAGGAGCCCAGACGGGAAACTGACAGTGGTGGTTCTGTCACCCCCACCCTCCTGTCCCATGCCCGGGAATCCCAGAGGTCTCGGATCGCTGCTTTGCTGACAGGAGTCACAGGTGTGCACAGGCCAGACAGCCTGGGTTGCCATAACTCAGGGCCCCTGGGTTATGGCAACGAGAACCAAGCTGTGTTGAGTATTTGCCATGTGCCCGTGACCTGGCCTCATAGGTTCATCTGCCACAAACGTGGGACAGGGTGGGGGGCACTACTGCCAATCCACTTCACAGGTAAGGAAACCAAGGTACAGGGCAAGGCTCGGGAAAGCCACGTTGCCTTCAGTGACAAGGGAAGGGCTGCCAGCTAAGGAGAGAGGACAAATGTCTAGGTGGTGTGGCAGGCACCTAAAGTGGGGTCTGGCACCCTGTGCCCATGGGATGCCCAGGCTGACCAGGCAGTGCTGATATCCTAAGCTGTCCCTTCTGTGCCATGCTGCCCATGGGGCCCCTTGCAACTCCACAGTTGGCTCTCAGAGTCACTCTGCTCTTCAGCAGGCTGCCCCTTGGGAATTGTCCTGGATGATCTGGTTCCCAGGGAGGAAAGCTGGGGCAATGGAGGGTCAAGGGTGTACAGGCAGGTGCTCGGTGTGGGGTACAGGATGGCCCAGAAGCCCTGACCTGTACAACCTAGCCTTCTGGATCTTGAGGCTGGTAAGAACAGTCCCTAGACACTGGCGGGATGACGGCCTGGCTGTTATCTTGGGCCTGAAGGCAGAGCAGCTGCTGTGCTTCCAGGTCCTGGGTGGTGGTGGTCACAGGGGTATGACAAAATAGCTAAGTGAGTAAGGGTACTTGCTTAATAACCTGAGTTCAACCTCCAGTACCTATGGGTAGGAGAGAGCCAATTCCTGCAAGCCGCCCTCTTATCTCCACATCCACACGTGCATGCACACACTCACGCACCCGTACCAAACACATGTATAACAAATAAGCAAAAGTATCCACAGCCCCCAAGGCTGCTCTGCCCTCTGCACAAAGAAATATCTGCATAGGTGCATGTGTGCTGCAGGAGTGGCCCCTTGGTGTCACCAGCACAGAATGGAACTGGCCACAAGTGGAGGGAAGAGGAGGGAGCCGGGTCCCAGCCCAGGCACTGTTTTCTGCCTAAAGTGTTTAACTGCTGTCTACAACGCTCAGCCCCAGGGTCTTTTCCCTGCCATAGAGCGGCCTGAGAAACAGGTCAACCCAGGCTCCTGCACATGTATGATGGGCACATATATATACAGGCCAACACATGCTGCCTGGCCTTCCAAACCCCATGCCCAGTTCTCTTCCTCCAAGGACAGTGGTAAATTAGCAGCGTCAGAGCCCATGGCAGGAGGGAGAGGCGCCCGGGCATGAGGGAGTGGGGGTCCGCACTCACCTTTGCATCCTGCTTGGTGACGAAGTCCACAAAGCCGAAGCCCCGGTGTGCTCCCGTCCCTGTCATCTTCTTTGGCAGGCGCACTGTCTTCAGCTCCCCAAAGGTGCTAGAGACAAAAGGCCGACATCGCAGATTAGGGGCTGAGGCCTGTGAGGGAGGCAGGTTACGGGAGACTGCTGGTTTCAGGGACACCCACCGCCCAGGCACATTCATGTGGCTTCCCACTTCCCCAGCAGGCGTGGCTTCCTTCTTCCTGCTGGCCACCAAGTGGAGGAGGGAGGGCATCATCGGGCTGGAGGTACTGATGGAAAAATTTTGGTGCCTCTCCTGCCACCTGGGGGACACCTGGACACCTGTCCTTTCCCCGTGGGACGAGTCTTGTACACACTGTGCCAGGCCAGGAAGGCCCCAGTCATGGCAAGGGATTGCTTGTGTTTGAGAGTCCGGGCTTGGGATGTTGGTGTGTTCCCCCACCTTTCCCAGGCAGTCTCAACATACACCATGGAGTCCTCTCTGCCAGCTCGAGGGCTCAGCACTCAGAAGACACAAGGCTCCTTCTAGCCCCGTGCCCTCCACAAGCTTCCCTTCTGATACCGCTAAAGACAGTCAAGCAGCATTCTGCAGGAGACTGATCGGGGAACTGTGGCCTGGATCACCCTTGGGGTCGCCCCTCCTCTCCACCAAGCTAACCTTTGAAAGACTCTAGGACAAAAGGAATGGGTCTCCTGGCCACATGCCCAACCCCATTCCTTTGTAATGTCCATTTATCTAATAGATATAAGCACACTGCCACTGATAAATATTTAATGCACTCGGCATCTGAAGAGAGGTGTTATTTTTATTTGAAAAATCTACACTCTCTGGTGGCTGTTGGGTCCACACATCCACACACCACGGTCTGGGATGCTCCAGGCCAAGGACCGTTTGGGTAAACCACACAGCGCAGGCCATAAGCACTCGCAAAATGATATAAGTTAAATCTGAGGCGTTAACCCACAGCCCTTACAGCATGAGCAGGCATCTGCTGGCCCCATTTCTGAAGGCAGGACGGTGTGTAAAAGCAGCATTATGAAGCCTCAAAATGAATCAGCACGTCCAGCTCTCCCCGGCACCCCCCCCCACCCCGCTCCTGTGCAGGCCACTGGGAATGAAGCTGGTGACAAGGCCAGCCTCCCCGGGATGGGAAGGAAGCAGAGGGGAGCCTGGCCAGATCCTTTGCTGAGAGGGAGCTCTTAGCTGATTTGGAGGGGGTCCGGAGTCTGAGCAACTCAGATGAGAAGCCTGGAGAGCTGACAGAGGCACGGAGCCGGCAAACCCTGCTTTATTCTGCCACCTAAAGGCCTGCACATCCCATGACATGGCCTTTGGTCCCTCTACCCAGTTCCAATGAGCCTGTGACGTGCCTGGGATAGGGATAGCAGGGATGCACACAGCCTTGCTCCCAGGCTGGTCTGCAAGAAATAGCTCATTGGTCACTGCTGCAGGTAATGTCACCTGTGGGGACATTGAGGGCCCAGGTCCAAGGGCTTTACACCCAAGGTAAGAAGGCTAGAAGGTGTGGGGCAACTAGGCCAGCTGTCTCTGACAGCGTGGAGAATGCCAACATCTGGCTCTCCAGACCCACCGTATTGCCAGCACACCTATTAGCCACCTTCACAAAGCCACCACCCACTGCGTCCCAACATGGGAAAGGAGGGCTGTGTTACTTCAACGGTGAAAGAAGCCACACTGATCTTGCTTGTGTCTATGCTGCAGCCTGATGCCCAGTGCTGTTCTGCATGGGGGCTGCTAGAATGAACCAACAGGAGACGGCCCAAAGAGGTGGGGGTAACTGAGAAAGGAGCTATGAAGTTCATCACTTCAAGTTTTTCTGCCCTATTTTACAACCCAGCAGAGTCCTGGAGAAGCAGCCTGGTTCTTGGTGAAAAACAGCAGGGGTGAGTGCCCTTGCTCTGCCATGGGATAGTTCAAGCCTGTTCTGTCCCCCATAGGTACCAGCCACTTCCAGAAATGGGGCTTCTTTCTTTCCCAAACAGGACCAAGTCTAGGGTGAGGCAGGACCAAGTCTAGGGTGAGGTGACGTGTGTGTGTGTGTGTGCACACATGCATGTCTTGTGTGGTGGTGGCTGGCCTGCACAGAATCCAGGGTCCTAGAGATCCACCCCGGATCATGGGGGAAGGGAAGGAGAACCATGCGTACCTCCTTTCTGTCTGTCTGGCTCTACGTCAGGGGGATGGGGAAGGGAGACAGAGGAGGGGTGCTGCTGAGGTTAATTCCTCCCCTCTGCAACGTGCTGTGAGCCGTGGATGCTCGGTGCATGGTAAGCAGCTGAGGGGCCGGAGGAAGCGAGGAAAATAATTAAAAGGTGGAGAAAGAAGTGGTGAGGAGGCGGAAGGGGCCGAGCTGCTGTGGGCTGAGGACGTGCATCTGAGAGTGTGCTGAGGGAGCCGTGACAATTCGGAGTCACTGTGGAGCTGGGGTGTGGAGGACGGGAGCTGGGGGCTTGCCTTTGGGGAAGTCCAGAACCCTGGCGTGGGCTTCTAGACTGCCAACTAAATGGCCAAGGAAACAGGTGCCCAGAGACCAATCCCAGGAGCATCAAGGGAACGGCTCCCATGAAAAGTGGCTTCTAAGAACAGGGCAAGAGAACCAGGCCGAGGAGGCACTGGAGAGTCAGGGTTAGATCGTCCGAAGAACTTCCAGTTATCTGCGGACATTCTCAGAAATGTACAGTGCAGGCTTCAGGGCACTGTCACTGCTGCTATAAAGGAGGGCCTACTGGCTACCTGCCAGGTCTCGGAGGCCTGCCACTCCCAGATGTAACAATGCTGGGGTTCAAACTCACAGAGAAGCAAGAGGCAGAGGGCAGAAGTGAGCTCCTGCCCTTGGTGCTCAGGGACAGGGCTGGCAAGAGACTGGCTCTGGGCGCCTGTGTGATGTGGAATCGCGGGAGGCCAGCACCAAGGACTGCTGAGAGACAGCTGAAGAGAATTAAAGAGAAAAGAGAAGGATGGGGGAGGAAAAACCAATGAAGTACCTTTCGTTCAAGGAGATAAGCGACACACGAATGCCGGCCATTACGAAGGTTCTTATCTGCTGGCCAGGTCTGTGAGGCCAGTTTTTAAAAGAGGCCTTTGAAGGGAGTTCCGCATGAACTCTGTCTCCTGGGAGCCAAGGCCATGGTCAGTGGGGAGAGGCTGGGCAGGGCCACCAGGGGCCAGGGAGGGAGCAAGGAAAACTGCAGCACCCAGGGATTCATCCCCAGCCCAGCACGCTGGGGGACCGAGCTGCGCACGCTCCCCACTGTGTAGATAATAGAAACCACAAAATAGCAATTACTGTATCAGAAGCTGTGAATAAAGAGGCCAGAGCGGGCTTTTAAACACAGCCCTCCTTCCCTCCCCCACACGCTCACACTTCCCCAACAAACTCACACCTCACTTTTCCAATTATTTCAATCACCCTGGGTTCACCAATTACTCCTGCACTGCGGCCCCACCCCCTCCACCATGCCGTCACCACCATGATTGGTGGCGGGTCTGTGGGTTTTCAATGACAACTTGAGTTTGCTGTGGGTAGGTGGTTCTGGTTTCTTCAGGTGTATGAGGTGGAAGGAGGCACCTACGGGCCACTTATATCTGGCTAGGTATGCAAGGCATGTTTGCATACACAGGTCAAGGCATGTGTCCCCTCCCGGCAGGTCTCCTCCATACAGGCCACATCCCCTTCCCCCAGACTCAACCTACATAGTCCTGGCCAAGAAGATGGGCTCAGGGGAAGGAACAGCAAGGGAAGGGAAGGAGAACACCCTGAGCAGATGCCGGGTTGAACGACACAGCTGCTCTAGAACCTGGCCCTGGGCAAGGTGGGCAGGCTGGGAAGTGGGCCTCACCGTGTGCATGCTGCCTGCCCACAAAGGGGTGGTTGGGGCACACCCTAATCCCAACTGTCTCTGGGATCCAAGTCCTCATGCTGCCTGGAGCTCTGACTCTCCGGCTGAGTGTGGAGTCACATGGGAAATTCGCTGGCAGGTCCTTCCCCCACCTGAACTCAAGGCATTGTTGAGGAAGAGTCTGCTGCCACCCAAGGGACCCAGAGAGCAGTACTGCGGTATGGGCAAGATGAAGGGCAGCTTTGTGACGGGCTAAACTGCAGGTGTCCTCTTGCCATGAAGTCCTTCAATATGTCCCCAGCGCTAACTACCACATTACACATGTGCGGCACAGCAAGTGGTGACCAGTACGTTCAGTCCCCTGTGTTTTACAGTGTGGGGGGCAGCCTGGGCTGTGGACTCACAGGGCCCTGGAGAGAAAAGCATCGTCATTTCTGCTTTACAGACAGAGGTGACCAGGAACAGAGCTGGGTCACGACGGGCATCTGGTCCCCAAGCCTGCGGCTTGGCTAACAATGTCCATGGCTGAACCCAGGGGGAGCATCCAGACAGCCCACTTTTGCTGGGACGCACATAACCTAAGACTCCGGGGTGGTTTGTCCAGGCTTCCTTGTCTGATCTCTAGCCTTGTAAATCAGCTTAAAGCTATGCACAGCCCACAGCAGATCTGGGGGCCACATTGCCCTGGAAGTCACGTCTTTGTGCCAGACCCATGGCCTCAATGCTGCAGGACCTTCGCCTTCACCTTCCTTGTGGTCCAATCAGCTCATTCCCTGCCCCTTCTCGCCTGTTAAGGACCTACAGGGGTTTTCCCTGGAGTCGGCCCCAACCCCAGGGCCTTTGTACCAGTCGATCCCATCACTTAAGAACCCTGACCTGGATGTCTCCTCATCTACCCTAACCTCTCTACTATCTTCTCAGTTCAAATTTTGCTCCTGCCATTAATGCTCCCTCTACCCTGCTGGCCACTATGAAGACTGTCACCATCTGAACAGCCGATCTCCCTCCCTCTCCTTAGCTAGAAAAAGAAGGCACACTCTGACATGGCAGGGTCATGTCACTTAGCTGAGTCCATGGAGCGATGCCCAACACGGAGGAACACCCCCCGCCTCTCTCTAGCTGCTGAGTCAACACTGCAAGTTCTAAGTGTCAGTACAGCCCCACCCACTCCCACTTAGGCAGTCACCCGTGCAGGCAGAACAGCCAGACTTAG